ACATTATTTCCTTCGTGCCAAGTAAAAATATATATTATCTTTTTTAATGGCCTACATACATTTCTTGCTGCCGATAGAAAATTTTATCCTGGTATCAATGCAAGTTCATTTCAATAAAACTTAGGGGGAGTGGGTGGGGAGATTTATCTGTATTCTATTAGTGTAGTCAACACCCCACCCCCGACCCACCTCCTGCTAGATAACCTACAACCTCCAAGTATTTCTTAACTGTGTAACAGCAGTGTCGAACTATTGCCGACTGTTCGCGAATTCTGCTTCATCTGCCTCCAAACCACAATGGCAACACGAACAACCAGCAAGGTACAAGCAACGGCGAGTAAAATCACCGAGATGATGGAATTTCGTTTAGCGGGATCCCAGTTCTTGTTGATGCTTGCAGAGAGGGCCCAGATCACTACGGGATAGATTGTCAACGTGTACCGGACAAATTTGTCCAAAATCGTATTTTCCAGCGAAAACCACACGATAATCTCCACAGCCAGGATAACGAGGGCAATTGTCGAGGCAACGTCCTGAGCGACCCCGTTTACATACGTTATCGCCATGGTCAAGTTTATGAGGGAAGCGATGGTGCACCAAGTTGTGTACAGAGCGAGACCATTGTTGACAAGGACTTGGATAAGGATAAAGTCGCGTTTGGAAATTGCTCTCGCTTCTATGTTCACGGTGGCGTACGATATGGCCATTGTTCCGTAAAGTAGGAACGAAATCGCGAAGAGCAGAATCGAGGAGGATTGAATCAGCTCACGGCTCCATAAAATCAGCCAGGCGATGTTTACAACACTGGAGACTGCATAAACGACGAGAAGAACGGGCGATATCAGGCCTTGGGAGCCCACTCTGCACAGTAAAGTCAGGCTGTAGATTATCCAAGCAGTTTGCCAAGCGTAAATTAAACCCCAGATTGAAAATGCCCAGCCTGCTGGCGTGATTTCGATGTAAAATTTGTCCGACACTTCTCCAGTTGTAGCATTTCCGAACAGGTGGCGGAACGGGCCTTCGTTTGGTCTGCTGGCGAAGTAGTTGAACAGCAACAGTAGAATAAACAGAGCTACATTCACTATAGTAGCTGTTATTTTGGGGACTCGATTTCCTTCAGCCATGGTGCGTACTGAGTGTAGTGGAGCGTAGAGTGTGATTTCTTTGATAAATGCGTGCTGTAGGCGTTTTATAGAGAGGTACTTACATAACTAGTGTATTCACGTGCTTGCTCACGCTTCTTGTGTCAAGAGAGAACCAGTCACGTTTCGTAATGTTTTTAGCGCTACAGTTAAGGCACTAAATTTAGAGGTGATGGTTTCAGAAGATGGTTGTTGACGCAACCTTTAAACACATAAGGAGTCTCCAATGAGGCCTGCAAATATTATTCTATGCTTTAAAATTCCTACAGAGAGAAGAACAACAGGTTTTGAAGGCAGTTCAAACACTTGTAATATACGTTGCGGCTGCAAAATGTTACGTTAAAAATTGATCAGCGCAACTTGTTACACAACGTTGTCCCAAAATCGTTTTGCAATGTCATCCCTTGAAGTGTCACGGCCCATGTCATGTGCTCACGTGCGAATTTGGTGTTTGCTTCGCGTGTGAGGTGTTAAAAATACAATCGCTTGCGTAAGTTGCATGTAGCAGTGTCTTTTTGTTTTTATAAGACACTGATAAGAATATTGTTTTTCCAGTCCAGGCTGAATGTTCTTATTTTTCTGCCGAGTTTACACTGAAAATATTCTTGGGAATAATTATACGTAAATCATTGTGCGTGACATTTGAAATTTATTGGGGTCGGTCAATTTATTAGAAGGGTTAAATCTTTTTAAAGGAGCTCAGTCACGGTTTTTGGCCACGTTCAGTCAAAATTGCCTTTAAAGGTAACCTGAAAATAATAGTTTACCGAGATAGGACAAGGATGGTTTAGGATTTTTCACCTCTCTAGCTCAATATATAAATATTAGACCTACTTGACCACATTCGAAAGAAACTTCGTTCACGAGGACAGAAAAGGCGAGAAACCTGTCACTTCTCACGTCCAGCTTTTTTTCTGTTTCTTTTTTTTTCTGTTGTTTTCGAAATGGAGAAAATCGGTAAAGAAAGTGAACGGTGAAATAAAAGAGGGGTTCAGATACAAATTTTTCTCCAAAAAAAAAACATTTTTTCGAAACATGAAGATTCAACATCTCTGAACATTTGCAAAACGTATTTTGAAACGATTTTGCTCTAAATACTCTTATTTATTTATTTTGCACATGATCATCATTATTACAACACTTCATCAGACTACAATGCAATTAATACAATCCAGAGCAGGACTTTTTAGGCTTATCTAGGAGACCTACGGGTCCGCAAATGATCCCAGGACCGCAAATGATCCCGGACTGCAAATGATCCCCAAACTGGACTGCAAATGATCCGGACCGGAAATGATCCTGCGAACAGGCTCCCGGTGAGGATGGAAAAAAATTTTGCGAGCGAACCTAGCCGACGAGCGCAAAACTAAAGAATTCGGAGAGCGAAGCGATCGGGGCGGGGCGCTTCGTTCGCGCCCGCCAGGAGCCCGTTTGCAGGCTACGTAGATGGTAGCCATCCAAAGAATTATTTTGAAATACTCACCGGGAAAATAGTTCGTGGAGTCACTGGTCCAGTATATAGCAAGTTTGGATGGGCAGTGTCCGGCCCAACGCAAAAAAAGGAGTCAGTGTTATGAAAGTAGCGAACGTTGTCATCGAGAAGATAGGTTCTCCGAATTCTTACTTAATCGATAACGTACAACGATACGGAACTTTCCGCTTTTACGAAAATTTTGGAATATCGAATTCTCTAGCCTCACTAGCAATCAGTGACGAAGTCGACAGCACAAAAGAGTGAAAGTTCTCAAACGATATACAATTCAAGGAAGAGGAAGGCCGGTGCGAAATACCCGCATTGCCTTGGAATTGAGAATAACTGTATTCCAACTGAATCGGTCAGCTGCATAATGTGCTTCGAGCTTTTTTTTTAACTTCAATCACGTCTTAAGAAGAATAAACCACTTCTAAGAGAGTACGGCAAAACCAGACAACAAATCGATTCGGGAATCATGAAGAGTGTGAGGAGAGTCAAAGTCCTCAAGTGAAAAGTGTACTCACGGCTTTCTGCCACGCCACGGAGTAGTTAAACAGGAACGACAAACGACTAAACTATATAAGTTGTCTTTGATGGCCCTGCTAAATCCGGAAAAACGATCTATCGCTGAATGACTGCTTTACAGAAAGGTCCTACTGGTCCCACAAGCCTTCGATACAGTCGTTAAGTTTAGAGGATGTTTTATTAGAATCATCGCCGATATCGAGAAGGCTTTTCATGAAAATTAAATCGCATCCGATAGTTGACGGATGCTCCTTCTCGCTTTGCTCTTCGCCGCTCGCGCGCGTGACTCAAAGGTGAGCCCGCTCGCAGGCTATTTGAGATCAAGCTGTATCAGCCCCGTCGCCTGCCTTTTAGTCTCTCACCCAATCCCGCTATCCTAGCTAGAACCAGTTGTCACTATTTGCCACAGTACGAAGAAAATAACTCTCTTCACGTTGACGACTTTGCCGGTGGAGCTCACGAAGATTCGAAAGCCGGTTACAAATTTATCGCACCCCTAAAACATTGATGACTAAAAGCGTGCGAGAAAGCGTCAATGCTCAGGAGAGCAGTTGTGGTAACGAAGTGAACGAGATCAAACGAGAATTTGGCTTCTACGAGAACGATAGGAGCACGCAAGTGGAAGCTGCCGCAATCCCTGTAAGTACTGCACGTGACTCGTAGAACCCCAGTTTCGAATGAGACGAAGGTTGTTACGTTAAGTTTCAAGGGACCGACTGGAATGCGATTTTCCTATATGGGCCTACTTACGCCATTCACTATCTACACGAAGATCCCTTTCAATCTCTCTGTACCAAGGCAGATAACTGGGAGGACAAGTTAGAAGGCAAAGCTCTAACGAGATTGCACTCACTCGTGAATGATCTTCGAGCCTTAAAAGGCGTCAGAGTCCCTCGTGTTTTGTGTTATTAATTTTTTTTATGGTGGCTGATAGTATTTATTTATTTATTTATTTATTTATTTATTTATTCTTTAACACGACGCTTCGGCGTCATCTTGTCGTCATTATCAAATGTAGATGGTGGGTTATGGTTAAGGTGGTTCAGTTCAGATATATGCTAACTTCGATGTTAAGGAGTGAAGAAAAATTTGATGAACAATGTCAGCTAATTAAACGCTTTTGCCCGCGTAGAGTCCGCTTGTGTTTAAGTTTGGTCTTTTTTTTTTTCGTTAACAGTATAAACATTTCCTAGCAACCAAGGGCACCGTAGGTTCAAAGCAATAAATGTTGGCTTATTAAAGTATTATGGCTCCAGTACAACCTGCAATGAGCACATGCCACGTCGATGTGCGGAAAATAACTCTGTTTCTTGACTTGTATGAACACCTGAAAGTGAAACAACAAAGGCTAACGAGTTTCGTTATTTGTAGGAAATTGCGAAGCTAGATTTTCGACACAGGAAAAAAAAAAAGATAGATACAGAATTCAAGAACAAAACCAAAATGAAAAACAAGTAACCTTGAAAACTAAAAGCAGGAAGGAAAAATGAAACTCTCTACGCCACAAGCAATACTAATTGGAACCCATTCTCCTCAACAGACGACGTAACAAGCGCTGAGCTGTTGTGAACATAAATAAATGAGTAAGGAAAGGTAGAAAGTCACACAAACACTCAACAATAAGAGGCAAAACTTTATTCGAATTCGTCGTAAGGTAAGATACTTTTGTCAACTTCATAATGATATGTGGACGGTTGAATTGTTTTCCAAGCAATTAAGAATATTTTAAGGTAAACTCTTGTACTTATATATTAAAAGGTGGTTTTCTTCAAACTTATTTA